GGGTTGAACCGATGAATGCAATGAGCGGGCCCACGGAACGGGACCAGACGGCCACGGCCGCAGGAACGGCGATTTCCCTTTCGGGCATCGATATGGTGTTCGATGGAAATTCGGGGCCGGTCACCGCCCTGGACAAGGTCTCACTGGACATTGGCCGCAACAATTTTGTGTCGATCATCGGCCGCAGCGGCTGCGGCAAGTCAACGCTGCTGCGCATCATTTCCGGACTGCTTGACCAGACCGCGGGGTCGGTCGCGGTTATGGGAAAATCCACCCAGGACTACCAGCGGCACCGCAAGTTCGGCTTCGTGTTCCAGGACGCAAGCCTTTTTCCATGGAAAACCGCCGCGGCCAACATCCGCCTGCCGCTCGACATTCTCCGGTTGGGGACCCCGGCCGAGAGCCTGGCGAAAACCGACGAACTGCTGCGCCTGGTCCGCCTGGAACCCTTCGCCGACCACTACCCGGCGCAACTTTCCGGCGGCATGCGCCAAAGGGTAGCGATTGCCCGTGCGCTGGCCTACGAGCCCGAAATTCTTTTGATGGACGAACCGTTCGGCGCGCTGGACGAATTCACGCGCCGCGAGATGCATGACGAACTGATCCGCATCTGGCACCATCGTCCAATGACTGTGGTGTTCGTCACGCACTCGCTGAGCGAAGCGCTCTCGCTCTCCGACCAGATCGTGGTCATGGCCCCTCACCCCGGGCGCATCCGCGCCATCGTGGATGTCGCCGAACCGCGTCTGCCCGGTCGGCAGGCCCGCACCAGTCAGAACCATTTGCGGCAACTTTCCGAACTCGAGGCACTTCTCGATGAGCAGTAACGCCCTGGCCGCCTCGCGCGGAACGAACAAAACCCTCGCCAGGCTTATCGATCTGGCGCCTTCAATCGGGCTCTTTCTTGCCGTGGGCATTGGATGGGAGGTCGCCGTCCGGGCCTTCTCCATCCCCTCTTTTCTGCTGCCTGCGCCCAGCACGATCGCCGTCCGAATGGTCGAGATGCGCGAGCTTTTGGCTGAGAACCTTGCCTCAACCATGCTCGCAGCCGTCCTGGGCTTTCTGATCGGCACCGGTGTCGCCGTCGGACTTGCTGTGCTGTTTCTCTATTCCCGAACCGCCGAGCGCGCGCTCTTTCCCTGGGCCATCACCATCAAGACCATTCCCATCCTCGCCATCGCGCCTCTTTTGACCATCTGGCTGGGGTACGGGTTGGCTCCCAAGGTCGCAATTGCGGCGCTGATCTGCTTTTTTCCCACACTTGTCAACACGGTCAGGGGGCTCAAGAGCCTCGACCGCCAGGCGCTGGAATTCCTGCGTGTGGTGGGCGCGAGCAAGGGCCAGACCTTCTGGCACGCCCGCATCTTCGCAGCCCTGCCCTATACGTTCGCCGCTGCCAAGATCAGCTCGAGCGCCGCGGTGATCGGCGCCATCGTGGCCGAATTCACAGGTGCCAATATCGGCATCGGCACCCTGATCGTTACCGCCGGCTATCAGATGGATTCGACCATGCTGTTTGCCGCGATCATCAGCTCATCGGTGGCGACGGTCGCTCTTTTTTATGTCGTCGTCCTTGTCGAGCGCTGGAGCCTTTACTGGCCTGAAGCCCGCATGGACGTCTGAGCATCGAACCAGATCAAGCACATCACAAAGGGGAATTCATCATGACCGGAAAGATCGCTCTCAGCCTTGCCGCTCTCAGCGCGGGGGTTTCTTCCCTCGCAACGGGCGCCATGGCACAGACGGCAGACGTCACGCTGCGCCTGCCCTGGCTGCTCAACGTACAGGCAGCGGGCTATGTCATGGCCGCCGAGCAGGGCTTTTATCAGGACGCCGGGCTGAACGTCGAAATATTGCCTGGCGGCCCCAACCTCAACTCCACGGCGCTGGTCGCTTCGGGCGCCAACACGTTCGGCACCAATGACGTCAACGGCATTATTCTCGGCCAGAACCAGGGAATGGACCTCATCATGGTGGCCGCCTGCTTCCAGCGGCATCCGGGAGGCGTCATCACCCTTGCCGAGGACAATATCGACGAACCGGCCGATCTGGTCGGCAAGACCCTCGCCTACAATGAGGGCGGCCCCTGGACGTTGACCCAGGCCATGCTTGCCCGGGCCGGTGTATCGCTCGATGATATCGATCTCGTGGTCTCGCCCAGCACCGAACTGCTCATCAATGGCAATGTCGATGCAAAGACCGGTTTTACCGTAAACGAGCCCATCGCCGTCGAGCTTGCCGGCCTGCCCACCTCGGTCATGCTGCCGTCCGACTTCGGCATCGAAACCTACGCCGAGGTGATCTTCACCACCCGGTCGTTTGCCGATGCAAATCCCGAAATCGTCTCGGCCTTCGTGGACGCGACCATCAAGGGTTACGAATATGCCTATGATCACCAGCAAGAGGCGGTTGCCGCCGTGCTGGCTATCAACAACCAGCTCGATCCCGCCCAGCAGGCCGAGCAGCTCGCGCGGCAGGAATCCTACATTTTTACCGACGCCCCCGTCTGCAGCCTCGATGGCAGCGTGGTTGCCGGCACCATGGATATCCTGACTGAATTTGCCGGGCTGGAGACCGATCTCGATCCCGAGACGCTCTACACCACACAGTTTTTGCCTCAGCCCTGACCACCAATATCGAGCCCGGCCTCCAGCCGGGCCGCCCACGGAGGATATTATGACAGAAAAACACACGCCCATTCATCCGGGCGGAGTGCAGATGCATCTGAAAATCAAGCCGGGCGAGGTTTCCCGTTATGTCCTGACACCGGGCGATCCGGGGCGCGTCCCCGTGATTGGAGAAGCCTGGGATTCATTTTCGGAAGTTGCCCATCATCGCGAGTATCGCACCATTCGCGGCAAGATCGACGGTGTCGATATCTCGGCCTGCTCGCATGGAGTGGGCGGCCCCTCGACCGACATCGCGGTCGTGGAACTGTCCAATTGCGGGGCCGACACGTTCATCCGCGTGGGCTCGTGCGCGGCGCTGCAGCCGGAAATGGCACCGGGCGACCTGATCATCTCGACCGGTGCCCTGCGCCTAACCGGCACCGTCGATGCCTATGTCGACAAGGCCTACCCGGCAGTGGCCGACCACGAGGTGCTCATGGCATTGATCCAGGCCGCCGAAGAGTTGGGAGAAACCTATCATGTGGGCCTGGCCGCCAGCGTGGACAGTTTTTATGCCGGGGAGGTCAACCCAATGCCGGGTGATTTCCGGCAATCGAAAATGGACACCGTTCTTGAAGACCTGACCCGGGCCCGGGTCGCCAATTTCGAGATGGAAGCGGCGACGATCTTCACGTTGTGCCAGTTGTTCGGCTTCCGGGGCGGCATGATTTGTTCGGTCGGCGCCAATCGCGTCACGCGCGAGCGGGCGGACTCGGCGGACTCGATAAAGCGATGCTGCGCCGTGGCCAGCCGTGCCGTGGTCATTCTCGCCGGTTGGGACGCTCAAAAGCAGCGTTCGGGCAAGCGTCATTTCTATCCAGCGCTCGCCAGCGCCTGAAACGGACCACCTTCCCATGACGCACAAGATCATCATCGACACCGATCCCGGTGTCGATGACGCGGCAGCCCTGTTGTTCGCCCACAATCATCCCGAGATCGACCTGGTCGGCATCACGACGATTTTCGGAAATGCCGATATCGATAACGTGACAGCCAACGCCCTGTTCCTAAAGCAGCATTTCGGCATCGCCGCTCCGGTGGCGCGTGGCGCCAGCCGGGCGCTCGCCCGCGCCAACGGCCCCAGCCCGACCCATGTTCACGGCAGCAACGGGCTGGGCGATATCGCAAGAAGCGATGGCGCTGCCGGGGCCATCGATCCCCGTCCGGCTCATCGGTTCATCACCGATTGTATTGAGGACAATCCCGGCGAAATCACACTCGTGGCCGTGGGGCGTCTCACCAATCTGGCGCTGGCCCTCAACCATGCACCCCAGATTGCGGCGCTGGTCAAGGGCGTGGTGATCATGGGAGGCGCTTTCTCGACAGCGGGTCCTAACGGCAACGTCACGCCGGTGGCGGAGGCCAACATCATAGGTGACCCCGAGGCGGCCGATCAGGTTTTTTCCGCTGATTGGCCGCTTACAGCGATCGGCCTCGACGTCACGCGTCAGGTAATTCTATCTCGCGAAGATGTAGCCGAGTTGGCCCAAGCCGGTCCGAGCCAGGCATTGCTGGCTCGTCTGACCCAAGGCTACCTCGACTACCATGCACGCCTTGGCATCGATGGATGCTATGTCCACGATTCCTCTGCACTAGGCTATTTGGTCCGACCCGACCTTTTCCAAATGCAGTCCGGGCCAGTGAGGGTTGCCTGCGACGGCGTTGCGCGGGGCCAGACCATCATGGCCGACATTCATACGCCTTACCCTCCCAATAGATGGGACGATCGTCCACACATATCCGCCGCTGTCGGCGTGGATGCACGGGCAATGCGAGCGCTCGTTCTTGAGGTACTCGGGATCTCCGACCAGGCCTGACGTGACCAAAGTGGGGACCACCGCTCCGAAACCGATGTTGCGGGCCGTTGCCGCCAGGAGGTATGCGGCACCGAAATCCGGACCGGCTTGATGACCTGGATCCATTTGGCAAAATTGGGCCGCTTCGATGACGCCGAGCTCCTTTGCAGCCGCTGTGATCCGCGTCCGAATTACAGGGCGAAAATGGCGCTGGTGCTCGAGTTGCGAACGCGGTCGACGCGCGAGCCGTCCCAATGGAAATCGAAATGGTCCCCCTGAACCGGGATCTCCATGAGGTCGGGCCAGAAGATGCCGACGCATTCGCCACCCGGCGCCCGCACGCTGCGGTATATAACGCCGTTGCCGCCGGTCGCTCGAAGCGTTTTGCCAAGCTTTTGCGGCGGGCCGTAATCGTCCGGCATATGGCAATCGGGACGCGCACGCACATCATACAGGTCGAGATCGAGCCCGTTGACCAGAACGCGGAATTGCGAGGTCCAGCCCGGCGCTTGGGCGCTGGCCGCCATGGCGATGCCGTGATGGTGGGCGACTTCGCGGATGGCCACTTCCTCGCTGCTGCCGGCGCTATAGACGCCATAGGTCCCGTCGGCAAACCGGCCCGGCCGGTCGGTGCTGACATGAACGAAGGGCGCCATCAGCCAGCTTGCCCCCTGCCCAGCCACCCGGCGGTGCGGCGGGATCAGGTCGAGCCGGCCCAGGTGCTCCCAGACACGCGGGTTGGTTTTCGATTCCGCCGATGCCAGCGCCTCCCAATCGGCGGGGTCGGCGATGTCCTCGAA